TTAATAACAAAAAATTATTAAATAATGAATTTATTATTTTTATAGATTATTAAATTATTTAATATTTGTTAAATAATGCATTATTTCTGAAATAATTATTTCATAATTTTTGGTAGAATATTCTCCAGAAATTTTTATTACTTTTCATAACTAATGGATATTTAACGGGAGATTATCATTTAATAATAGATTATTTAACAATAATGGAAGATGCCATGAATATATAGGAAACATCGAATTCCCCTTATCCCCCTCTCTTTAATTTGCTTGAAATCAGATTTAGAGATATAAATATTATTTGATTTGGAAAACCAAATGTTAACAAATTATTGCCTTATTTTTTATGGAAAAGTTGAGAGAATAGAAGAGAATTAGAGATAGAAGTGAAGGAGAGGATAAAACATATATTGAGGTAATTAAGGAGAGAAATTAGGTTGTTAACTTATTATAGAAAGTGAGTGAGTTGTGGGGGGAGAGAGGGAACCCAATGGGAAGGGAGAGGAATGAAGAAAGTGGGTGCTGAAATGACAAAATGGGTGTAGTGGGAAGGGGGAGAGGAGAGAGAGTCAAGGAGAATGTAGGGTTGGGGTAATGGAGCAAGGAGAAGCAAGTTTACCTAGTCGGGACCTGTGCGATGCACGAGTTTATTTTAATAAAATTGAAGCAGAAAAGAGCTAACCTTCACAATAGAGCTAAGTCAGCCCAAATCCAACCCTAATCCAAGTTGCACCCCTATTGAGAGTGTCCAATTTACTACGAGCACATACATTTTACAAAATCTAAGGTTATAAATCGATACACATTTAAATGGATTTTCAATTAATAAACATTAATTCTAAAATTAAAATTTCTTTTTAAGTTCCTAAAATATGCTTTATCTTCAAATGGAATTTAAACATATATTTAAAAATAATTTTAGAAATAATAAGTGTTATTACTACTAAATAAATTTGTACTGATGTTTATTATTTTTATAATGAATTAAAATGGATTTTTAACTTAATAAAAAGTAGTTTAAAATTAATTTTAGAGTTCATTCAAGGTTCAAGGTTCAAAATTTTAGAATTATTATAAAATGTATATCCTTTGTATAATAACTTACTAAATAGTTTTAGTCAAGGTTCAAAATTTCATCATGTATAATCCCGTATCAATCGATACATATCGTATTGGGGCCTTCCCTACACCCCCACATGATTCAGAGGGCAGCTGGGACTTAAACCGACCCCTTTGAACCAGTTTTGAAAAAAATAAATAAAACACTGATACAAGCCGGTACACCCTACCAGCGTATAAGCCTATATCGATATTTAGAACCTTGGTTTTAGTATACTTTTCATTGGAAGGTTATAAACTGATTTCAATTTAAATGAATTTTAAAATAATAAAATTAAATTTGAAATTGATAATTTATTATTAATTTTATTTTCAATTAGAACTCAAAAGTACTAAAATTAAAAAAAAATTATTATTGGTAGATAAATCTGTATAGGTTTTAATTAGCTGCTATTATGTTAATACTTTAATGGACAAAGATACAACTCATTGGAGAGCTTCTTGCTTATTTCAATATATATGTTATTTCTCATGCCAATTATGTTCACCGCAATAGAATCATGTAAAACACTATATCAAAACCTATATTGTAAAATTTGAGCTTCAAAAAAAAAAAAACTTCAGGAATATAAGAAAAATTACAAAGAAGAAAATTGAATTGAAGAGCTCTATTGATTACTCATTTACTCCTATGTCATTTTTCCTATGTCATTTTTCATGTGAAACATGTAATCATGAATAAAATAATTATGTCAAAAGGACAAAAATTGCAATTTAGGTTGTGTTTGGTTGCAGTAATTTTACTTGCACTAGTACAAATGTATGAGAGTGCAAATGAAAAGAATGCAAATTCTGGTTTAATTTTGTTTTGGGTTTTATTTTATGTTGTTTCAAGTGTAGCTTTACTTTATTTGTACTCCAATCAAACAGAATAAGATAAAATTTGAAATAAAAATAAAGGGAAAATTCCATTTTAGTACCCTGAACTTTGGGGGTAATATTATGTTAGTACCCAAATTTTCAAACGTGCCACTACAGTACCTAAACTTTCAAAAAGTGTCAAGTTGGTCACTGTCATTAATCAACTGTCAGTTATCTGTTGAAAATGTCAAAACTATCCATCAAAAGAAGACACTGTTCATTGTCTTCTACCTTGAGACTGAACCAGTTGAAGTGTTTGAGATTATAAAATAATGAAGTTATTGTCTTCTACCTTTGGATCTGAAGCACATGCTTGTCTTGTTATTTCTTTGCTTTTAGTTATTGTTCCCTTCTATCATATTTCACATGGTTTTTAAAAACGAACCGGTCAGGGGTCCGGTTACCAGTTCGAACAGTATGACCGTTGGACTCAAATGGCCGGCCCGTTCTGATAAAAAAATAAAAAAAAATTAAAAAATTGCAAAACGGTCAAAACCATTCGAACGGTTAACCGACCGGTTCAGCAGTTTGCTGACCAAAATCAACAGTTTTGAGGGAAAATTCTGTTTTGGAGGAAAATGGAATCGGTCAGGTGACCGGTTCCCGATTTTCCCGGTCCAACTGTCTGGTCCGGTCTAGTTTTGAAAACAGTGATATTTCATGTTTTTTTCTCTCTTTTTCTTTGAAGATAACCAGTTCAGTCTCAAGATAGGAGACAATGAACAATATATTCTTTTAAATGGTAGTTTTGGCATTTTCAACAGATAACCGACGGTCGATTAATGATAGGGACCAATTTGACACTTTTTGAAAGTTTAGGTATTGCAGCGAAACGTTTGAAAGTTAGCGTACTAACTTGACACTGCCCCTAAAGTTCAGGATAATAAAGTAGAAATTTCCCAAAAATAAATCATAATTTACACAAAAATCATTTGCACTGCTATGATTTTACATCAGTGCAAATAAATTCGCATTGAAACCAAACACAGCCTCAAGATTTAACCATCTTAAAACTAATATAAGCAAAATCACAGAAAAAAATTAAATAATTATAACTCCACATATTTTTTTATAACTTTTTGGAGGAAGCTTCTAAAAAGGAAGATTGGAAAATATAATAGTATTGGCTTCTATTACATTTAGGACAACTTCAAAACATGGCAGAAAGAGCAAATCGTGGGGCCAAGTAAAGTTAAAGATGGACTTTTTTTTTTTTCTCTTCAACAAATGACTTGTGAGAAACCCAACTCAGCTTGTCTACATTTCTTGATCAGCAAGGAGCTTAACTTTGCCATTTAATAGAGTAGGATGCTATTAATATTGCAGGAATGAAGGAAGAACCCAAGGTAGCTTCGAAAGTTTACAGACTTGTACATCTTGATGTTCCCGTGAATTCTTGTGCAGCCTTTATGCAATGGAAGCCCCGACGGCCGACCCCAAGCCGTTGCAAGAGCGAACTTATGCCTTGTTTTCCTAATGGCCATGAATTCTCATCAACATAGAAACCCTCTGTCAGTGCAAATTAATGTTTTCTATGACATTGACCTACCTATCTTTGTTCAAAATCACACAGAAACTATTTGACACCGGAAAAAGCTAAAAACAGATCATTTATTACCTGAAATAATCATCTTATTCATCCATACAACTCCATAGCAGTTAAAGTCAGCCTATACAACATTACGCAGTCCCCTCCCAAAATGAAGGGGGCTTTGCATAGATTTACATTTACTTAACAGGGAGTTGCTTAACACATTTATTTAGAGTCGTTTAACACAGACTCCTCTTGTAAAGCAAACTTACACATAGAATCGCTGAACACAGTCTGTACTCCAAATAGAGATCGATGTTCAAAAGCTTGTCTACATTTTCTCTGGCACAAACAAAAAGAAGATTAAAATGGAAAAAATAGAGACTAACGCTTACCTAGGTTGAACACTGTCTAGACTCAAACAAAAGCACCATACAAACTTCAAAGATGTGATTATGTGAACATGCAATTATCTGAAACAGAAAGAAACAAATTTAAGTGTAATTTGCTTTATTTGAAAGGGTTAAGGGCCGGGTGGTGTCACAAAGGTATTCTATCAAGTAAGATCCACAAAACATTGATAAAAGTTGGGTTTGAAGAGAAGTTGCATTACATTTGGAACACAGAACCAATAGACCTCTTCTAGTGGGAGACATGGCAGGTCTCATTCATAATTTCTCTTTCACTCCGTAAATTAAGTAAATATGGAAATGAAAGAATGGTTAGGCCAGTTATTTTCTCCAGAAAAACACTCAAAATAAGAAACACAATCCAATCATATATTAGAGATGAGAAGAAAAGGGGAGAAAAATCAGGAAAAAGATAGGGCTGCTGATTTGGCCTAATAAGATAGGCTAAACCCCTATTGACTTGGCTTAATGTGAATGGTGAAAAGGGGAATGGAGAGAGAGTTGAGAAGAAAGCAAGAATGAGGTTTATATATACATATATATATATATATATATAAATTGAGGTGGGTGAGCTGCATCACACTCAACCAAAATGGAGGCAAAACTAGGAGGGCATAACGCCTCAACTATCCACCTCAAAGGACAAAGGGTGACTAAACAGCCCCAGCGAGCAGCAAACGAACTTTGAAGAACTTTTTCATCTCTAATATTGAATTTGATTTTTAATTTTTTTTCTATGTATTAAATGCAGTGTTATGCCCTAGGAGAGATAAATATGTGCAGAACTACCTTTGCAAATATATATACACAAAGGATGTTTCCAAGATTTGAAACATGGCCACAGTGGGGGAACATCTCCTGTACTCTGCTGGAATTCATGGGGAGATCCCATATGCAGCCGCGGGATGTTGTGCATAGGACGTGGCCAGCGTTTTGTGGTCGCAGATCACAACATTAGTCATCTCTCAAGTCTCATCTGTCAGCTACATGTAGAGCCACATCAATTTTTCAAGTGTAAACTCGGGAGGGTGGCAATGGAACATAAAAACAGACTTGTTATTAAAGATGTCACAAGCACAATATGGATTTGTAAAAGATGTATTTTTCACATTAGGAAATGGAGAACGTTAACATACAATTCTGTCTCAATAACTTTAATCAAAATTTCACAGAACCCTTCGGATTCTTCGACAATGTATTCTTTCATTGGGTATCTCTCTCCACACTTTGAGAATACGAGGTGGTTCTGGTCTCTCAAACAACAGCATTCCATGGATTTTGTGGTACATGTAATAAATAAAGCGTGATCAAACTTCTTGACATGAAGGGGAATTGTGGTTATCTGTTTTCTGACGCTTAGCTTCTGGCTCATCTCCTTCTTCATGGTTATTAATTCCATTAATTACATGTGGACCCAACAGAGATGCATGCTTGCTGGTGATCTGACGGCCTGCTCTGACCTTTGGTCCCCAGTGCTTTTCTGGATTTGGAAGGAATCGTGCTATCTTCTTGGCTTGGGCTTTGCTAAGGGAGGCAACTGCTCGAGCAAAATTGGCCTGCCAAAAGAAGAGATAAGAGGTGGATTATATAATTTTCAGCTAACAATCACGGTTGGGGCCCTAAATTTGTGATTCCACTATTGTGTTTATATGATTATCTCTGGCTAAGAGATCAACGTCAACCGGTGTTTGATTAAGTTATATTTAAACTTAATCAGGTCCCAAAAAAAGGAAGAAACAAAAACATACACCGGCATCTTCAGTAGTCAAACTGAAGGACTCTCCATACATGATTCTAATCATAACTATCAGGTTCAGCCACCTTTAATTGCAATTTTTTTTCACTATAATCTCATAGTTTAGGCTCAATTTCTTCACCTATTTGAAATGCAGATAACAGGAATGAGGAAAATAGAGCAACAAAGTAGGATCAGAGACAAACTTGCAAAGTCGGTTCCTTGGCGAGGATTACAGTTCCAGATTGGTCTGGGGATTGTGCTTTTACTGGATGATTCTTGACCTACACCAGTGAACCAATCAATGAACCACAATGTGAAATCTGCAAATCATTCAGATAATCTTTGTAGCACAGTAATCTTATAGTACTGCATAATCAAATAACAATTTAAGTCTAGAGGGCATTGACAACATTTGGAGAATGTAGTTATTTTCAGTAATATATTAGCAAGTAGCCTAGCCAAGACAGCAAGATATGATCCACTACTCATTTAAAAAACACCAACTAATTAGAGAATATTACAAGTTATAACACATGTTGATATGACATTGTAAGATTATGGTTGCTTTTATATGCCACACCAACTGATGGTGTGAATACTAGAGCAAGTTGTATAGTGATTACCCAACAACGCATAATATCCCAAATGACATCCATGGGAGCATCTGATTTCAAGCCCAATGGATTGACATGAGTTCCAGAGATACGATATCCTGCATTAATTACAGCAGAGCGAAACATAACTGCTGAAGGGGATGTACATTTCAGTGTCCCACATAAGCTGTGAAGACTCACAAAGAGAGGAATATCAAGCAACTCCTGCAGATAAGATGTCAATAGGAATGAGATATAGTCAAGGGAAAGCTAAAAGAAAGTAGAAGGCCCATACCATTCTATTAAAAAGAAAAAGAATATCTATAGAAGTAACCTCATTGGTTTGTAGTTGGAATATCCAAATTCATGTTCCACTCCCACCTATAGAATTTTTCCATTGCCCCAAAACTAGAGTAATTATCATCTACAGTTTTTATATAAACTGTCTAAAATGAAGGTTGGACACTGTTCACATAAAAAACAGAAAAGAGAAGAAATATCATGGATCAGAAAGTCAGGCCCATGAAAGAAAATAGATGCAGAGTTTAACCATGGCCAGTTAACAAAGAGGCCAATTGCCTAAAACCAATGAAATGGCCCACCTGCGGATATAGGAAACTATGGTCAATGCAATCATATGATGCATTGTGAAAGGACTTTCCTTACAAAATATCATGTATCAGCAAAACTGCATTCTCTCTCCCATTAGTAAAACAAACCATAATAATACCTGTATCTTCTCTATTTAAAAATAGGATTATTATGTATACTTCAAATGCAACAACTCTTTTACTAATGAATGTTCTTACAAAATAAGATTAATATCAGCCTGATTGAAAACATCAAAATGTTGTGATACCTCAGATATTGTTGTTAACACAGCAGAGATCCGATCATATGCAGGATACCTGTCCTTCATAGATTTAACATTTGCCAATATAGAAGCTACCCATTCTTGATCATGGATAGGGGCAGACCATATAGGTCCACCCATGTTAAACTTCTTCCCGCAGTCGCTGCACTCTCGAGGAACCACAGGACCGAACCCCGGTAAATATCTAACGCTGTTATTCTTTAAAAATATAAAAGAGAAGAGGATAAGAAGCAATAAGAATTAAATTGAGTTACTTAAACAGCAATAAAATCAATTTTGATTTGTATAGGCACTAACAAAAATAGGTTTAAAACAAAAGAGATGGCTGCTGCTAGAAGAAGAACTGCTAATTAATAGATATAAAGATATATAGATGCAGACGCATAAAAGCACAGATAGAAGAAGAAGAACAACTGCTAATGAATAGATAAAAGAACTGTCAACAATGCCATATTCCAATTACAAGGGTTGGCTACAGAAAGCCTATTTTGCCCTCCCTTCAATTTGAATCTTCAAATATTTTCTCTTCTCGCAACAATAACCTAGTGAAATATTGCCTAGACTAATTTGTGAACCTAATCATTGTGGCTTTTTTGTGAGATTTTAGTAATTACCAATGGGAATTTCTTTTGGGTTTTGGTACAGTTTTAAATATTCTAATGCATTAAGATAAACGGGAGATCATCATTTTTTTTTCTTGAGAGAACGGTAGCATTATATTTAATGTGACAAACGGAACATCATACTTTGGAATCATTGAATTGACTTCAGTTGACCTAATTATACAGCTGGACATCTTGAATAAATTTTATCAGGGGAAAAATTAAGTGTATATAGAACCAGATGTATAGTTGTTGCATTACCTTTGTGACAGACCTCCCAAGACATTGCAGATGAAAAGAGTCACACCCAATACACTGATAAACATATGAAAGCTTAAGAGGTGTGTTCTTCATTGCACTAGCAGATCTGTGAATCACATTTGATGCATTAGCAGACAACATTATCCAATAAACCAGTAGGATGACAGGGAAACATCAATCATCTTATTTATCCATAAAAAATCATTTATCTTATTAGATACATCAAATAGCTAATATCATGCTCACTCAAAAGAAATAAGCCACCCACGTAAATATGCGCACGAAGACACGAACATAAAAATCTATTTGTACAGAGAGGACAGGTACAATATATCTCTTGTAGCGATTTGCATGGCTCTGCATTATAAGAAAGAAAGAAAAGAGGAGAAAATTTAATACCAGAAGGTTAATAGGGAAAATATAGACAAGGACTAACTAAAATGTCAAAAAGAAAAAAAGAAGGAAATAGGAAAAAAGGCTCATACTGTGTGTTTTGGAAAACAGGGAGGTAAATTCTAAATCATTTGATTCAGACTTCCACTAAAACTTGAAAACATTGGGAGGAAGAAAACCTGGAAGGACCATACTTCTTTCCCTTTTCTAAATGAAACTTATCCACTATTTAAACAAATTTAAACCAAAAGTTTCTTTAAGGAGATAGAAGCACCTCAATGCAGGCAAGTAGAATCCTCAGAGCCATTTCATGGCAATATTTTCCTCTCAGTGGATATGAACCATACCTGAATTCCACAATCAAGTACTTTTTTTAAAAAAAAGAGCCATAAAGTAGCAAACACTGATCCATTTGAAGATAAGGAAGCAAAAATCCTCACTTGGAATAGCAGACCTCCCCATTGCCCCCACAAAGCACTGCCATATCAGTGGCAGTGCACATCAACATGCCTCCATCTGCAACACATTGAACTGCAGAGTCCAGAAATACAGAAGGCGATCCATATGGATCAAGATCAACCTGAAATGCCAGTCACTGGGTAAGAATTGTATGTGGTTTGCTAGCAAAATGAGAAGCAAGAAAAGAAATAGGAAAGGAGGAAAACAAACTCCAAAACAAAGATAGAGGATAGATGGGTTTTAATCATTACACAATATAAACATCCCACATTCCTATATTCAGAAAGTGTGACAAAACACAGCTCCCAAGAGACTAGCAAATCTCAAAACCAATGGTACATGGTACATACCACATCAAATTCTTTCTGGTGGGTGAGCATGAAAATACGAGCATCAGCTAGATGAGATTCAACCTTTGAACAAGCTACTGAACCATTGAATTTTATGTTTCTCTTGCAAGCTTCAACAGATGCTGCAAAGAGGATATGTATCATGCTTGGTTTTTTAACGAATATTCTTCATTCCAGAAATATAAATACAATAGAATGATTTAAAAATTATAATATAAAGGGAATAATGAATTGCATGATAAAATGATATACAAAGATTTTCCAAAAGGCCCCCGTTTTGTTTCTTCATTCCCATGTTAACACCTTGAAATATTGAAAAGGACCGAGTTCTAAACTTTAGTGCCATAAAAGAGAAACCAAGTTTTGAACTTTCCATTAGAATACACCAATTATTATTGTTAATCAGTTTGCTACCATAGTCACTGCATGGTTCAGCAGGATTAAGAAGCAAATGAGAAGATTGAAAATAGCAAATCACAAAACCTAACAGATTGAAAATTTAGACCTACCTTTATCATTATCTAGAGCTACAACTTGACCAATACCCTCTACTTCACGTGCATATCGAATGGCTCTTAACCCTGAAGCAGCCAAAGCCTGAAATCTCACAGTGAAAAAGACCAACTAAGTTCAACAAGGATGAACCCAACCAATAAGGGCGTATAGTTTCAAACAGAATACTTCCACATCTTAGTATCATACATATCAAAACATTCAGTAAATAAGAAACTGAAATTAAGAACATGCTTATGATTATGCAGTATAATAAAAATAAAGAAATAAGTCAGTTAAAGATCAGAAATCAACCTCAAGAACTATGGGTGGCTTCACTTGCCTCTGCCCTTTTCCCTCAGTAAGGTCAACAGTTTCTTGTGGATCATCTTCAGATGGCTCAGCCTTAGCATCACATTCTCCATTTGACTTCGGACTACGGGAGACAGGTATATCAGTTGCTGCTTCCTCTACATTCCCAGAATAAGCCTCCTCTGATACCTTCTGTGGTGTCTTCATCCTTTTATTGTTCCTTGCTTCATGTTCCTCTTTAAGTTTAGATATGAAAGTCCTTAGGACGGCAATTGATAAATCTCTGTTATTAACCTGTTTATAAGGTGACAAGATCAGTCCTCTTAATTCACAGAAGAAATGCCAAGGCCACTGACAAATGGAAAGTATTCCCCTAGACAACAAATGAATATGTCAAACAAATAATGTTCCAACCCATGTGAAACAGAATGAAGGGAAACAAGCTAGGATGGGATCTTAAATCACCATCAAGAAAAAAAGTACTTGTTGATAAAGAAATCCTAATTGGGATCCTACAGAAAGAGTACTACGAAGAGAAAACCTTAAATCAACAATAAGAAAAAGGAGACCATGGAATTCCAATGAATTGAACTTTTCAAATCAACTTTGATGACAATGAAATATAAAAAAGACAATGCAAATATAGCTTAAACTTCCAAGAAATCATCCAAAGTAATCCAAGTAAAACAGCCAGAATTGTGAGTCAAAATCATATTGGTCTTGCTATTCTACTTTTCATGAGTGTTAATGCTTCCAGTTGTGAAGTTGAAAGGCAGCATAGGCAGCAGAGAAAAATCACATCTATTTATGTATTGGAAGGACAACTGGGACTTGACTTTAGTTAATTCAGATAGGATAAAATAAGTTGTTATTTATGGCATTGATTGATTTGATTTGTGTTGATTTTTGTAGAAACCCTGTCCAGTGTCATAATATTAGCAGGGAGTTATGCTTAGATGCAGGGTGAGGCATTATATCCAGGCTCGACGAAAGTGATTTACTTCAGGTATAGAGAGAGAGAGAGAGAGTTGCAATCATTTTTGCTTACTGAATAAAGAATGTGAATCTTGTACTGAATACCAATTACATGTTTTTCCCTCCATCTTTTTTGAAGTATATTTTTGTATATAAGCTATTTTGAAGTATAAAAGTCTGCAATAAGTTTGAAAGTTAACTACTTTTATCCATTATTCCCATCAAAATCGTTTCTTGGAGATTTCCACTCTGCAAATTTATTGGATAGCCTCAAATGTCTATGTGTAATGTGATCCTAAAGCTGGAATACACGTTATAAAGTAAAGAAATAGAAGTCCAGTATTTCCCACCATCCGAGAGCATATAACAAACCCATGCAGTGATCAATTCAAAACAAAAAATTTCCAGAAAGAAAATCACACAGAAAACAGAGAAACAAATCGTAAAAACCAAAATTTCAAAATAAAACGAAGAGGGAAAAAAAAAGAATAAGTATGACATTTTTTCAAGTAATCATCCAATAAATATTTGAACTAAAGTAGCTTACTTTCAAACAATTTGCACAAACAAGAGAAACGCAGAAGAGAAACAATACCTGGGTTTTATTATAGAAGACTTCATTCTTGGCATGCATGAGTATCTCAGCCTCTCCTTCTTTGATGATGGTGTAATCATTGGGGTCAGTAGACATAGTTTTATCACTCGATTTCTGCTGCTGCTCAATTCCTCCAGCTTCACCCATGACGTCCAAGGAGGAATATTTTTCCTGTCTACTGCTCCCTTTATTGTTCGTGTTATCGATAGATAGAGCTGGTAACAAAGGAGATGACAATGAAAGAACTCTAGACGCAGATTTTTGTGCCGAATCGTAAGGGATTCTGCAACCACGTTCATATACTGCTTGTAATCTTTATATAATGAAGTGGTGATAAACCCTCACTATTTCAGATTTCACAGTCCTTATTTGCTTTTGGTACTTAAACCCTAGTTGCCAGTTACCTGCAGCTGCGACGTCATGAGAATCAGACCGGATATGGAATCGCTGGAGTTGGTAATAATCGGTTTGGTTGAACCGTGGCATCATGGATTCATGTCTATACAACAATCTGATCCAGTCCAAGAAGTGTAAATTTCTAAAGCAGATCTATAGGTTATTTGTTTCTGCAGTAGCACTGTAGCAGCCTAGCAGGGAATTTATTTTTGGTAGTGTTAACTCAACTCAATCAAGTTTATAATGCACTAGAATCGACTAGAGAGATAAACCGAACCGAATGGTCGAACCATTAACAGTTAAGCTAGTACAGCAAGGAAGCTAATTGTTGGACCAAGTTTAACTCTAAGAGTGCACAAGTGAACAACAAAGCTAATTGCCGCAACGCACGCAATCACGCACCCACGTCCCACCGTGCTGAATGGGAATATCAGATTCAGAGGGATGAGGGACCACGATCCATTCCAACCAGCAGCTGTTTGTCATTCCACTATTTGATATTTCCACCACCCACCCAACTGCCCAAGTAACGCGAAAACGGATGACCCACAAAGTGATCCAAAATAAATGGATTATCATTCGTGCCCGGACCCACCTCATAGGCTCACATGATATGAAATTATGAGGTGGCCTGTTGGGACATGTTATGCGCGTCTTTTGGGTAGCAGATCTGAACTCAATGCGGTATCTAACTTAACTTTTTAATATTTCAATTAAAAAGGTGATATCAATATCTATCATATTTTCCCTAATATAAAAATATTTCATGCACAATATATTCAAATAAATGAAAATAGATTAGTTTGAAAGAAACAATTTGCCAGAAATTTCATCCAACTGATTTTGGGTTTAGCGCGTGGTCCCTCTAATAAATAAACAGGCAAGGCCCAGACTGGATCATCTATTTAATAGCCAAAACCTAAAGCCTCGCTAACTGCACATTAATCTAGCCAAGCTCAGTGTGCAGCACTATCTATGGATTTGATGCTGACCCAATTGTGATGGTTTCTCAATATCACTCCCAATGGCCAATGCGGAGACATGACACAGTCATTGGGCCTCACTGCCCCTATACTCTATGTTAGCGACTCCAGAGTCCATAACTGCTCAAGCCTAGAAAATAAGGATCACAGGTGGCCCGTTAAGCCCAACTTTACACTGTTTTGGACTTCGTCTTTGGGTCGGGCCTATTCAAGTTATAGCAGAAGCCAAGCCCGAGCCCGGCCATCAACCGATCTACCCTTTACTCTCCCAATGAACACGGGAAAGCTAGCAATGGAAATTAATGTACAATAAATTCAAGTGATGCTTTGAATTTATTTCCATAACAGATATGTCCATGTTTCATTGGTTGGTCACAGTGCATCAGGGTAATGCCAGTTAACAAATAAGTAGAAGAGTGTATTAATCACAGCTTTTATCTATGTTGGATTGGGCAAGATTTTAGAAATGAAAGCTGATTTTGGGCCTTTATCTATGTTGGATTGGGCTTAGGTTCAACTCCTAAGTATATAGATGTTTCTTACCTTGAAACTTGAAACTTAGAAATTAAGTATGTTTTTGGAGAAGCACATATATAATATATATGTATTTCATGCCTTAACGCCTTTGCCTCTAGAGTTAAGTGCTGAGTAATGCAGCCTGTAAACCATATCATAGGAAAGGTGGCAATTCTGTAAAAGGCGGATTGGACCAGATAATCATGTGCCTGGTTTAATTAGGGCTTATTAGATCCCTTGTAAATTTGGTGGTTTAAACTTTAAAGATCAGAGTGGCGGTGGTCAGACCTGGGTGAACCAAAACCAAACCCATTTAGAATCTGATTTGTAGAGAGGATTAAATGGAATTAAGTCAAGAAATTAAAACATGGTCAAAGTAAAAAATTAGAGTGACAAGGCGAAAAACAAAAGTCCCATGATCATCAGTATAGATGGAAGGATCATGTAATGGCAGAGGTATGAGTAAATATTTATACTTCACAAGTAACTGGATCAAGGATGGATTCATTTCATGGCATGCATGTATATGTATTCACCCAATGAGAATCCGATTCTAGAGGTAGTGTTTGGTTTCTTCTTGAAATGTCACAAACGACATGGCTGTACATGTACCACTACTAATAATTCAATGCGATATATGTATAAAATAAAGAAGTGGGTCCAAATCTTTTCCCCCATAATCATAAAGCAGATAAAGAGAAGCAGGAATTAGGGAAGAAATTCAGACATATATAATGAATGCCAAAGAAGCAAATTTGGCATCCAGAGAATGTGTAGTCTTTAGAAGCAGTGATTATTTGTATCGATGATTTCTGCTGCCAAAACCCACGGGCCTGTCATCCCTAGGTACGATCGAAGATTGTCATTTTTTGCCGTATAAATCCTCCAGTTGCTCCAGACTATAAAGACAAAATTAAACTTCCTTACTTTCTCTAGGCAGTTTTTCAAGAATTAATCCGAATTAAAAGGATATGATAATGACAATTACAACACAAGAAATTTAAAAAGGACATTAATTACTCAATGTTGGTCCTAGGCTACTAGCTATATGAGGTCTTGGGAGGGCTGGATTGGACACTGTCCTAACTTTTCACAAAATGGGTGCTCTTGCATTCTCATGCTTGTCAGCCCAACATTTAACCAAGTATCTGGTTTTGAGTCTGTGAACATGAAGGTTAATAGAGTAGTGTAGCTCATTAATTTCGTAGATAGCAGCCTAGCAGGGATTGGCTGTTTCGGATTTGGATCTCTTCCCTCAGAGCTGGCTGATTCCTTGTTTAAACTCAGATAATTAATGTTGTTTGTGATCCTTATTATGTTCTAATGCAATGAATTGATGTGTTACCCAAAACAAAAACAAAAAAAAAAATCTACTAAATTATTATTGCTGCCACAACACCCTTCCATAGAACATATAGCCACATCAAATGCTTGTAATCTATGGGCCGGGCCGGGTGAAGGTTACTTTTGTTCTTTTCGTGAAGTAGTGATTATTTTATGTTTTATTTAAAGCTAACTAGTTCCCTCTTTCGGTTCTCCAAGGACAGCATTGGCTACTCTAAGTCTCTAACCAACGAAGGAGAGAGAAATTTCTCGTGCTTTGGGTATGATAAACAATGTATTGACTAGAGAGATGGGGATTGGGGAGGGGTTGAAGCTGTTAAACAAGCTAGTGGTGTGATGGGATTTCAAATCAAGCTTTCCAGATAGAGGTAACGAAAAGTGTCTCTCCAGATATAATTATTATACCCAAATCCGTTAATGATCAGATCACCATCAGAGATTCAGAGTAACGAGAGGGCCGGTGGGAATGGAGGGGGGGGGGGTGTTATTGGTTGGAACTTGGAAGAAGAAGAAGAAGACATGAAATGTAGAAGACAAAGGCGTTGAATTGAAGAATTGGAGAAAAGAGTACAAAAGGAGAGAGAGAGGCCTTGGGAAAGTCGATTATATAAAGAAAGAAAGTTGAAGATAGCAAGAGAAAAGAGAGGGTGTTTCCATGTTTGGTAATCGAGGAATCGTCACATCAATCCCCGGCTCCCGGCTCCCCCCCCACACCACAAGCCGAGAGGCCCGAGACCCCTAAATTTACTATGATGGTGACATGTGATCCTAGCTTCCGTCGTTTTCAGGTTTCTTTGTTTGTGAGTGTACCCGGTACCCGGTACGCGGTACCCCAAAAGGGGCTCCCTCCTCCCTCCTCCCCCAACCCCCATAATCCTTTATATTTCTCGATACGCTTGGGCGGTTGGGCCCAATTTCTCTTTTCGTTTATCTGCCTCACTGACTAACATATATATATATATATTCATGGTTACGTTCCTTGAACGCCCATTTCGTTGCTGCCTGCTGGGTCCAAGTCTTGACGCTTTCAGAATTTACAATTAATTAATAATTTTAAAGCTAGGGTCATTGGGTGCCCAAGATCATCAGATGGGTGTATGATATTGGGCCAAGCCTAGCTTTAGAGTTCAGACACAGTAGTAGTGTTAGATCAGGGGGGCTTATTCTTATAGATCGATGGATGTGCCATTTTATTTGATTACATGATGAACAACGTACCACGAGAAACAATCCATATATAGTTTTGATGTTTCGTATTCTTTCAAGTGCCATGAGAAATGAAGTTAGCTGCTAGATGGATTGATTCTAGTTTGGTCTTTCTTTTTTTTTGGTCATTGGGTTTCGTCAACATAAGGCTGCTTTTTGTTTTCGATGGTCAGGCTAATAAGGCTTTAGTGCTTCATCTACAGACTTTTTGGCTTTTGTTTACTGTAGGCTTCCATGTGGAGTGAACATATCTATCCGGAAGTTTGAATTCCTCGCGGGTTAACAAAGTAGGGAAGAAGAAGTAATTGAGATTTTAAGTCTGAATGTGTGTGTGTGTGAGAGAGAGAGAGAGAGAGAGAGAGAGAGAGAGTGCATGAGAGACAAATAGTAGCTGATTAATGGGATTTTGATTGAAGTAATTAGTGTGCAAACACGTCTTGGACTGCCGGTAATTGTATAAATTAAGGTAGTTTTTTTCATATATAAGAACCCTGATCAGCTTCAATAATACAAAAATAAAAGAAAAAGGAGATGACAGAGAAAGGCGGATAAGGCTTTGTTAAAAGGAGCGCGCTGAATTAATACCCAGAAAGAAAGAGAGAAGATCAGTCTTTGATCTCAAATATACAGTGGGAACTGGGAGGTGCCACCGAGAATGAGTTTGGGCTTGGGCGGGCCATGGTGCAGGCCTTAATAACCATGCAATGTATGAAAAGATAGACTAGGCTCCTGGTCCTGGGGTGTCATGGACGGACCATGCATTACAGTGTGGCTTACATCAGTATATGAGAGGGAGAGAGAGAGAGATCCTTCACCTCACCCCACCACCTTCCTTAAAATTTGAACTTTGAATCTGCATCACACTAACATGTAACCAATAATCTTCAACTCATCAACAAAACATTAAACATATCGCGAGAATTTCACAATCTCTCTCTGTGATTCTCTCTCTAATCGAGTGCGTGACTGCGTCATGCGTGTGCGTGTGTGTCGCGTATCTTTTGGCGGGGCAAGCCATCTCTGCAGTCTGCATCTCAGCGAGACCGGAGCTCATAACGAGCATAGTTGTAGTAGCCCTAGATTTTCTTTTTGCGATACCAAAACACATATCTATCAGAAAACCTACACCTTTCTCTGTCTCACTTTAAAATTCAAACCTATCTCTTCTTCTTCTTCTTCACACACATATACACATAGACATACACAAACACTCTTTCTCTCTCTTACTCGTCGAAGAAGAAATCCTCACTCCCCACCCCATGGATTACGTCCCTTCGTCGGAGCATCTTTGCTACGTCCGCTGCAACTTTTGCAACACAGTTCTAGCGGTAATTTACGTACAAAGACCTACTTAGAGCATCATGATGAGGATGCTCTTATTCAAATCATACAAGTTAGAAGAAAGCAATTCTTGCAGTCTTTATAGATTAGAGAAAGGGAAAACGAATGGAGCCAATTGAAATACAGAGAATAATTAACCTGTGTCTGAGATAATTAGACTTGTTATTTAATTATTTCACGCATGCACTCTTTCTGCTTACCATCTTTTTCTTCCTTTACTCAACCAAACTCATAAATTAAAGAACAAGAAAGCTAGAACGTGTTTGGTGGAGAACCCACTAATTATCTTGTTCTTAATTTCTTATTATTAGGAAGATGGTGCGTGTTTATTATTGCTGCCTGTAACTTGAAAACTTTATCGATCGGTGAATATTTTATTTATTTATATAAGAGGTTCCTTAATTTGTTTCTTTGTGTTGTTGTGGATGAAGGTTGGAATTCCATGCAAACGGTTTTTGGATACAGTGACTGTAAAATGTGGTCACTGCAGTAACCTTTCCTTTCTAAGCACCAGACCTCCTTTGCAAGGCCAACGTCTGGATCAGCAACTTGGCTCTCAGGTCACTCTCCAAACTCTCATCTTCTCTCCTTCATACTAATGTTGTTGTTCACTGCTGCTACCACTTCTACTAGTTTTACCTGTAGTTGTTTTGATTCAAGTATGACTCTCTCTCTCTCTCTCCATCTTACCTAGGTGTTCCCTTATTTGTTGATGTTACTGTAGTTGGTTTCCTTTATTGGCCATTTTCTTCTTCTATATATTACTTTCCAAGAAAAGAAGAGAATATAATATGCACGGAACAAATTTGGTTACTAACTGATGAAGGTGTTCAATTCCTGAAGAAATTGCAGGTTTTTGGCAATGGTTACAGAAAGAGCCAATCCTCATCCTCCTCATCGACGTCTACCCAGCAGACGTCCCCAAATGTTCCTTATGTTGTAAAACGTAGATTATTTTCAGCTACCCTGCTTTAAACTAGTATTAATTCCACCGATTTCTTGGATTAAATTGCATCATCACATCTCTCTCTCTCTCTCTCTCTCTGACGTTTTTTGTTTGGTTTATGTTGGTTGGGTTCTTTGGCAGCACCCGAGAAGAAACACAGGCTTCCATCTGCTTACAATCGGTTTATGAAGTAAGAAGAAGAAGAAGATACATTATTCTGAATGTAGTTATATATAGCTAATTTAGTATTAATTTATACCTCCCATCAAATAAACTATCAGGAAAATATGAAATAGTGGCTTATAACTATTATTTTCTATTTTCCATGGAAGGGAGGAGATACAGCGCATCAAAGCGGCCAACCCTGAAATACCCCATCGAGAAGCTTTCAGCACAGCAGCAAAAAATGTAAGTACTTTTTGGTGGCAATATTGAATGTAAGACCCCTTAGAATTTAGAAACGTCGTGTGATTTCCAGTTCGATATACATTCCTAAATTGTTTGGTTATAGTGGGCCAGGTACATTCCATATCCGCCAAATGGATCGATTTCTGAGAACAATAAGAGCAATGTAAGGATAACAATTTCCTTCAATTTCTAGCTTGAAATACATTCCGTATATTTCAAATTTGGCTCTGTGTTTTAATAATCTGTTGGTGCAGGAACGAAGTATTACTTCCTTAATGGAAAGAATTGACAATGCCCCCAAAAAATTGGAGTCCACCGAGCACAAGAGATAGACAGATATATAGGTCATTTCATCAGCTAACTTCTTTCAGACTCCTTAATTTGCAGTTTTGCACAATCTTATGCTTAATGATGGTTGTGTTCTTCATGGACTGAACTATGTACAGAATGTTGAGATCTATGTACCTGTGTAATCTGAAGTATATCTGCTGAGGGAGAAAATGCTTTAGATACTCTTAACGTTATAACCATATTAATTCCAGATAAAATCATAAAATAGGAGGTCATCTTTCTCAATCAATTAATTAATTGTATATAAACAAACCTTTTAATCTGTTAGGAGCTCGGAATTTCTACAAGAAAACATTCTAGTAAGTTTAGTTAGTGTATAAATGCTTCGCGCTAGGGTAAGGTGTGATCAATTAGTGGCATGGCTTGTGAGAATTAATAACCATTGTAATCTTTCTGTATTTTGAAAAAAATAAAATAAAACTGATGATCAATTTGGGAAAATGTATAATATGTAAATAATTTGGGTTTTCAAATAGGGTACCAAACAATTGGGAAATTTAGACTTTATAAATATTTTTAAATTTAAAAATTATATATATATATATAATATAATATAAAATTAAACATATTTTTATTACCTATAAAACATGCCAATTTTTTATGAGAAGATATTAAACACGAATATGTATTTGGCCAATCCTTTAATGTACTATATGTTTATTTATTCAAAATTTTCCGTATTCTTTATTGTTGGTTCCAAATTTTACATGAACATTTGCTATATTGTATGCACTCCTTAGACTCATTTATTTAGTAGTTTTTCAAATCCCCCCATGGCCTCAGTTTGTTCTTCAATTTGCTTAAATTTAAATGGGTAAAATAGTTGCTCTCCTTTATTTTTTTTTTTTAATAATGTCAGAAAACGGATGCCATATGGACATAATAGAGATTTCCATCCTTGTCAATGTTGGTTTAATTACAATTAATTGATCAAACCCCTAAAGCAACTATAATTTAATCATCACATTAGGTATGATTAGCTAGTTTTGGATAATATGTGACGATGTGACATTGCTGCATAGTATTCAAGGTTTTTGTTTTCTTTGTCAAAGGGTAGCTAATTAATTAAGGCGAAATCTGAAATTTCCCAAATCTCACCAGCAGAAGATCCTTATTTTTGCTTCACTCCTTCCTTATGTCTGCCAATTGTGGAAACGTCTACATGTGTAGAACAGGACCATGTTTCAATATGGGGATACCCTAATTATAACTGTAATAATGCTCTCCCTTCAAAATTCAAATTGCAATTACCCCCCCTCCCCCCAATTGTCGATATAGACAATTTGGGGTGGCTAGAATTAACATTTTACACTGCTTCGGACTAATGTTCTAGGCCAACTATTAGATCAGTTGTGTAGTAGTTAGGGTTGCAATATTTTTGGGTTAGAGTTGCGATTTTGTCAAAATTTCAATAGACTCAATCGGAATCAGAAGCCCGAGCCTGAAACAATGTAAAATGTTAACTGTTAACTGGGGTCAATTCGATTTACACGTAGATGGTTAAAATAGAATCATTTGTATTACCACCAAAATTTACAAGAAGAATAAAATAGGGAATTTGTTGGAGACCTGGGCCGAGAGGGTATCACTCTCTCACACCTCGGAACACCTCACTTTATATTGTTTACCTAAACATTGTTTAGAGTGAGATCTTTCTCAGAGTGGGTCTTCATCTCAACTTAGATAACCGGTTGCTTAGTAGGACATGTCATTGTTGTTATTGTGATTGGTAAGAGCACTTTCATTATGGAACTTGCCACTCTAGAATTCCATCATATTGTGACCTTAGCCATATAAATGATAGATACCAAAAAAAATAATAACCATATAAATGATGATATCTTAATAGACCCACTAAATTAATTAATGGTTATTATTTGATAATAATTTGGATCATTAAGGGGGTGTTCCACAAAATGATTATGCGTTTTGTGTTTGAAAAACGGAAAAAGAAAAACTGCAACACGAGCAAAATCTATTTATTCTTTGCTGATATGATTGTTTTTGAAAAATAAAATCATACACTTATGGCAAATACACCCTAAATAGGTTAGATGTATACCTATCCAAGAGGTGAATTGTTGAGATGCACATGTGAGTACGAGGAGTGAAAGAGTCCCATATCTAAAAAACAAAAAGTACACTTGGTCTGAATTGATCAACTAACACTTGGTTCTGTGCTTTGGCTAACCAGAAGTGAATAAACAAACTGTATCATCCGTCTATTTTAAAACTGGATTTGGTCAATTTGGGGCTCATAGTCAAAGGCTACACAAGAGCTGAATGATGAACCATTTTATAATTCTATTCATGCGCCCTCCGAAAATGGTGTTGCTGATTCGGAAGGCATCTCTGATTTTTGGAACAGTAGATAGAAACCATCAACAAGAATTAATTCTTGTGAAGATATTTGAAGGATTACAAGCGAAATACGGCAAAGCTTACCCTTACCCTGCTTCAGCTCTGATCTTTCTGAGTTATAGACCCCAAATGATTCGATCAGCTCCCCCTTAGATCATCAGAGATTCATGGGAATAATCCGGCAAGCTCTGGCGTCATTTACTTGTCAGCATTCGTTGTGAGACTGTCAGGCTTGCCTCTCAATACATTGAATAATATAAATAAAAGGATAATTGAATTGCACTCCACCTCAGAATTCTGAATTCCACCGTAAACCTACAACCATTCAAATTTTCAAATATCTCATACAGATCATTTATGAGAAAGAAGTCCTCGTCTTTCTGTGTTGTCATATCTCTTAACACATCGATGGCTCCCATGCATGCAACAGCCAATAGAATTTAGAATCAGACCTAACTAATTAATTTGCATAGTACACCGGCTGGTGAAACCATAAAACCCGTCAAAATTCACCTCACAAGAGTAATGTAAAATGCTTATTATTAGCTAGCTAGGAAGCAAGTAAGCATGCACCGATGATCAATTTCCTTGAGCATTAACAAAAGCTAAGTGTAAGAGTTCCATCATGCATCTTTATAATTCATGATCCTATGCTTAATTATATTTGTTTTTTGATAGGATTTATATCCAGACTCCAACTGAAGGGATATTTTCATCAGTTTAGACAAGAAGCTCAGAATTTCTGTCAGTAGACAGGGTATGTATATTTGTCTTGCACTACTCTAGTGTATTTGCGGTTACATAATTAATTGGGTTTTTTCTTATCGGATTGGAACAGATAACACCAAATGATGCAATTGGAACTCAAAAATGCAGAAAGTTCACACAATGTAATTAATAAGGCTGGATTGGGTCGATTTGGATCATTATGCCACAATCTGACCTTTTCATGAGAAATGGGCCCAGCCCCAAGCCGGGGACCAAAGCAATGTAAAATGTTCACAATGATGAGAGAGAGAGAAGTAAAATATGACTATTAATTGAATCATGTTAATGCCTTACCAAAAGGGTTGGAATTAATAGTACATGATCAAGCTCACAAGGAAGGAGACCGGATTCACAAGCATTGAATCATGCTTCAACAAATTAAAATTTTAGATTGGTGTTTGAAAGGTGCCAACAGACTCGGTTAGTGAGTTCTCTAACTGAGACTTGGGATCAAATCCCACTTAACAGAGTAAAAATTCTACCCTGTGCCGCTTGAAAGCATAAAAAAAAAAAAAAACTATGAGAAAACAGCATCCAACCTGCAACCACATATGGATATATGGGCAGAATCACGAGGAGATGTTTCTAATATGCCGCAGCCGGCTTTCAAAGTAGTGACAGTTTTTGGTTTCATGAGACTCATCCCATCTCCCCTGAGCTCTGTCCAAGTGGCAAACCTTGAGTTCAGATCTGCTGCACTGTACACTATGACAGGTGTCTCATTACTTATGTGGTGTAATTTGGACACACATATGAGTGGACCATACCATCCCAGATCCCACCTGGTATGATGATGGGATCTGGTACTGGTAGCCATACTCATCAGTCTCAGTAAGCATATCAAAGACACAAGCAAATGTGCAACACCTGTCACCAAAGTCTGCCACTCAGCTGCCTCATAGTCATAGGCCACCACTGTATCCTACACTACACTACTAAATTGTACTCCACTCGTGATGACATCATCACAAGAGCAAGGATTTTGGTGCTGCTCTGCTGTGCTGTCAAAATAGAAAATTTTAGTAAAGATGGGATAATGCAGACAATCTAACTCTAGCTCGTACTTCCCAATTTCAAGGATAGGCTATATATGCCCATGGACCATGATTTATATTATTAGAGAGAGAGTAGTCGTATCATCAAGATGGTGGGTGGGTGAGTCTTTTTTTCAAAAAGACCCCAGCCTTAGTTGGGCAAGAGTGTCAGTTATGTCGGATATCCAAATAACAATCGACACCAAAGATGTTGTATTCATTATTCGAACAGTTTTTTGACAGAAGAAGATCCGAGATCCATTCAATTTAACAATCGAGACAGTGAAGGAGGACTCCTACACCTATACCTACAGCCTGGAGCCTATTTAAGTCTCCATTGTTTATTTGATGCCGGATCTGCTCCTCACAGGTACATCCTATCATGCATTGGGAACATCTCTCATACTTTTAAGTTATTATTCATGGAAAATGTTCTCAAGGCATGGTGGATGTGCCTGTAAGACGCCCATGTGTAAGGAGCAGATCCCGTTCCTATTTACTTCACCCTTCTCACATGTATTATTGTTTAATACATTCATTTCAGCTCCAAGATACAACAAAGTCCGGAAAGATTATCTGATCATGCTCATGTTTGATCCATTCAATAACTGGTCCTCACTTCCCAATAAGCATTAATAAAAAGAAAATCAGAAAACTATAAACAGACCTGATGCAAATTTCTAATTCCCACCGCAAAGCTATAAACATTCAGAAGGTCCAAAAACCATACTCTATGCACCCATACTTGCCCGTGAATTCCGAGCTACTACCTACCACAAATGTACTTTGAGCTTATAAATTCTGACCCTGGGGTTATGAGTCACTCTCAGAAAATAGAGGGTTTTATTGATTCACCATCTTAGATACGTAATCACAATTCAAGAGGTGAGGTATTGTAATATAGGTAGAATTTGAGCAGAAAACCAATAAAAATTCATCAAACTCGATCCAGTCATTAATACACAGACAAGCCAGTCGGATTTATTAGCTAATTTGCTACTGGAATATACTTCTACTCTGGTCAGAGTAGATTGCACATGCAAGGACCCAGAAGGCATGATGGCCCTTGCTCTTTTAAGCGATACGAAGAGTAGCCATTCTTGGAACTTTCCACCCGGAGGCAGGAGGCAAGAGTCTTATGCGGTTATACATATGTGAGAAGCTCTGCTAAAGTGCTAATCGGGTTTTTTGGTGAAGCTTCCACAAAAGATGTAGCAATATTTCTAGGTGGCAACCCAGTTGGGAGGCCAGAGAGTCCCATCTCGCTGGCCTCTTCATTCATGGGTGCCTTACAGCCTTAAAACATTTGCCACGTGTAGGAAATCTCCCTACTTGTATACCATCTGATCAGTACACCATTTTCACAGCTGTTTACAATTCAAATTTTAACTTTTGACCACTTTCCTGTTATTTGCTTCAGAAGAGGGAAAAAAAATTAAAAGGCATTTTTAATCCTCGTTGCTTGGTAAGTTTTAAAAATCATTTGGTTCAACTTGAAAAAAAAAAACTTAATAAATAAAAGGGAGAGAAGTAGGGACTGGAGATCGTGTGTGTGACCAGACCCACTTTGCCTTTGAAAACAAATTAAGATTTAAGGAGTTCGAACAATATACTCTATTTAATGGAAGTTGGATGGGTAAGAACTCTCGCATCGAGGGAATATTTCCAAAGAGACAGTGGGTAATGACTAATGAAGTAGCTACAAGCAAAACAGATTACAGAAAGGGAAAAAAGATGCACCAATAACATTAACACCCAGTCTAGCAATTCACCCTCCAATGATACATCTTTAATATGCTGCCTCTTTATGGTGAAGCTTCAAATAGTTTGCCAGCTTTTTAGACTTCGAATATGATTGAATTTTATGTAGCATACAGAATGAAGTCACCAAGGATTGTTCTATTGAGTTCATAATATTGGAACTAACATTAACAAGATTATGCACTGATGAAGAATCAAATTAGACTTTTGTCCTACATATCATTACCATCTTTTGGGAACTTTTCCTGCATTTTTTCCTCAATTCTTCTTAAACCAAAATATGGCCTTGCATGAGAAACAATAATTTGTCAAAGTTTTCAAATAGCCGAAGTCAAGTTCCTAACATAGCATGTAAATACAAAGAAAATACATCATCATTCCAAAATTGGCAGTGTCTGTTATTTCTCCAACGACTGTATTTCCCCACAACTGACGCCCTGGTTTATAGCATTCACTCAATTAGCTCCCATGTACCAGCACAGAGTTTTTTTCACTGGTCTAGAAGGAAAACGAAAAAAAAAAAAAGAAGACAGACTTTGGAGAGCAAAAGAATTTAGTACCTGAGAAATTAAGGAGAACGTACACAAAAGATTAAAGTACCAAAGCCAAAATAGCATTTATTATTCACAGATTAGAAAAGGCATGATCACTTGACTTGTTCACAGAATCAAAGGTGGCTGGAAGGATAGTTTCCAGTATGTGCAGAGGTTTCACGGTGGTTGTTGGAGTTCCTCCTTGCCTGTTTCCTAGTAGTTTGTTCATGTTAGTTCAAAAGATAAGATGAAGCATTCATCCAATTGCCACATCCTTTAGAAACCTGTACAGATGGCAAAGATTCCATTAACCTTAGGGACAAATCATGTTTCCAGAAAGTACTCTCAAATCTGAAAGAGAGAAAAACCATTAGAACAGTCCATGTAAATGTGGGGCTGGGGATTTATTTTTATAACAGATTAGCCTACATTTTCGTTATACTAACATAATGCACTAACATAATGCACTATTTGAGTGTAAAGTTCAACAAGCAACTGAAAGTGAATGGCCCAATCGTCCTGTTATTTTGCTAGTGCTTTGCTCATCAAACCAAACAACTAGTGAATTGGGTGGCATCAAAGTCACCAAATTTGTCCAACCACACCCAGCTTCTGACCACTGGAATTAGGAAATGGTGGAAGGGGATGCTAGAATGGCTGTGCATTGGTTAAAGATCAACAGTCAAAGATCATGTCAATACCAAAGCATCATGAGGGAGATAACAGGCTTGGAGAAGATGGAAATCAACATCTCTTGGGTTCATAGATCAGAAAACTGTTTGGCAGATGATATGGCCAAACAGGGGCTAAACAGAATCCAGTTATTTTGGGGTCCAGTAATTGAGCATGAAATTTAAATGGCAAAAAAAAAAAGGTTAGGTGGCAGATGCTAGCCTAACAATCGGGGATGCTAGGCATGTTTTTTTATGTAACTAATTCTTAATTTCATAAACAATGAAGCTAATGGTTACCAATAAAAAAGAGGTTGATCAATCAAACTAACAAAACTCTCCCATTTCCAACTCCATATAGAAGTTCTGAGAATAGGAAAGAATAATAGAAAGTTGGTTCAAACTATAGTAACAAAAATTTCAGAGGAAATGCTTGTGTACCTAGTTTGTCATATTGCTCTAAGTGATAGGCAGGCAGTAAAAGACATCATTCTCCTGCTTTACTTGAAGAGAATGCCTCTGCCGTTCCACACGTTGAAGTTGTGATGAAAGTTGAAGCAAATTAACAGTAGGGCCATGGTCATGAGAGAGAGAATCCTTAGAACTCACAAAATCCGATGCTTGGAAAATTCCGTCCGTGCGCACTTCAAAATCAACAGGATTGCTTGCATCAGAGACCAGTACAGGTTCCATATGATCAACTTCCAGGGCATTCAGTCCAGATGATGAAAACCTAGTTGATGCTACACTTGTTGAAGCCTGTGAGCTTACTCCTAGAAACTTCTCAGGAAATTGACTAATACTGTATGGAGCTCGGCTGCCTTGGATAATCAGGGGCCGAGCCATGGGAATTCCTGATGAATGACTTGACGAGTTCCGTGATTGAGCTGACAGAAGAGAGAGAGCACAACCGGAGTCAGAGACTCCAGATAATCCTTGAATGGTTGATGCTGTATCAAAAACAGTGAAGTCTTCACTTCCTGATGAGGCATTTCTGAACATTGATCGCGATGAAGAATTCGGACCCACTAAATCATGGTACCTGTTACCATTCTCATGAAAAATGCTTCCTGGTGTTGCATCAATTACATTACCATGCAAGGATGGATATTGTTTTTCTACACCATATGGAGGGAGAAAGGACTTAGGAAGCAAATTCCCATCTGTAATAGGTATTGCTGGCTGAGGACCATAAACTGTATCTTCTAATTTTACTTGTCTTGACCAGTTACTGGTCTCATATTTCACTGGACGCAGCATGCCATTTGGAAATATGTCTGGGCAGATAAAGGATGGCTTTGTGGATAATGGACCCCCCAAAAATCTCGCACCTACAGAACCACCATAATGTCAGGATGGCTGAATGGAAAACTTACGTAAACAAAATACATTAAGTGCAATATTACAGATATACATTTCTAAGGAACTGAGGAGAATGGTAACATTTAATAAGAATATACTCAAGCAGCACAATTTGAGGCTTCAATACACAGATGTCAGGTCTGTAATCAGAAGCAAGGTGGGTCAATCCCATTAAATTTAGCTTGACAGGCTCTTTCTTTCTTTCCAAGCAAACTCTTCTCTTCCCCAGGTCACTCATAGAACCCACTATAGCAGCCTACTTATTGCTAGCTGTAGATCTTCCATATCCATCCATACCTCATATAATTTATCACCTCACCTATACAGCTAATGAATCTCAGAGATCAGCATGTGGATTATTTATGTGAGGAAATGCAGTGCTAATCAGTGAATCTAGGAAAAGAAGATTTACTTTTCCTTTTTCCTTTATGAGATTATATTAAGAAAAGTAAAAGTCCTTCAAAGTTTTAAATGGGCAACGTGTACCAGAAGAGTAATGGGGTAGAAGTCTCATTTTAGGAGGTAGGCAAACAGAGATGCATTGCAATAGTAATGGAAAATATAATGAATTTTAGTATATCATAACTAAAGGAAAATGCTCAGAGGTCCATCATCATGAGCTGAGTGTGACAATTGGTATATGCTCAAAAACTCATAATATCACTTTCTTATTCTTGAAAGACATCTAAGTCTATTGCTACAAAGTAATGCCCTTTGGACTCCAGAATGCTGGGGCTACGCAACTTATTAAAGGGGGGCCATGACTGTTATACTCGGAGACCCCCTTCGCGACAAACTTGAGTGCTATGTCGATGATCTYGTCGTCAAAACAAAACGGGGAGCTTCTAAAGAAGTGCCTGCAGAAGATCTTTGACGGACTCCGGAAACATCAACTCAAGATGAACCCGCTCAAATGTGCGTTCGGGGTCACGTCTGGCAAATTCCTCGGATTTGTAGTTAGACACAGGGGAATTGAAATCGACCCAACTAAAATCAGGGCCATCCTCGAGATGCCGCCTCCGAAGAACATCCGAGAGTTGAAAAGTCTACAGGGGGGACTTGCCTCACTAGAACTATGCCCTTAAAACTCATCATTTCCAAATTCTTACTTCATGGATTAATTGCCAAGTAAAATAACCACATGTTTTATTATATGGCATAATTGGAATGTCACAAAGAGTGAGAAAATTTTCAAACTATTGACATGTGAGAATATAAGAAAAACATGGGGGAACTTGAACAAAACTAATAACAACTTTAATAGGTTTGAAATAAGAAAAAGAATCCGGATGGGCTTGAACATGTTTATAGGCCCGCGGGCTTAAACTCGGGCCAAAAATCCCGGCCCACAATAAATTTGAGCCGGGCTCGGGTTTTGTCAAAATAGCCCAGCCCGAGCCCGGCCCGGCCCGACCTAAAATTAGACTTAAAAAGGGTTATGTGATTATGTCCATTTGAATAAATTTTTTGATTTAAGAATGTAAAATTGTGTTTTAAAACGTAAAAGAAAGGGAAAAAAACCATCTTGTAGGCCAAAAACCATCTGAATTTTTAATTCTAATTTGAATAGGGAAAATTGTAACCTTTTTTATTAGGTCGGGCTTCGGGCTCGAGCTTCGGGCTTTTTATCAGGGCCGGGCTCGGGCCCACGTTATAGGCCCGTTGGTCAGGCCAGGCTCGGGCTCGGGCCTAGCGTATTTCCATTAATGATGAGTAAAAGCCCGGCCCGAGCCCGGCCCGGCCCGGCCCATGAACAGGTCTAGTTGTAAACCTGTTCTCCTATAAAATTCAGCTCAACTAATAATATAATAGATGGATGCTGAACTTTAATTGAATAAACTTATCTAATATAATTTAAAATAAATAATCCACAAAATCTTTTCTTTTCATAGTCGTATGAAAAGGCTTTTACTCTATTTTCAGTTGGCAAGGAATAATATTCCAGCATTAAAATATAAGGAAGACAATTAATATAAACATTTTGTGTCATTACTCATTACTACTTGAGATGTAACGTCTTTCACAGACCTATTTCTAGCATTTGTTTAGCAAAGAAGATAATAATAGTTTCTAGAGAATTCAGAAAAGAGATCAGATAGACCTAATACCATGGTATGATGGAAGCAACTTGCCAGGTTTACCAGATTGGCTACCGAGTTGGGGCTTCCTACGACGCTCATTGTGGCCTGCAAGGCGTTTACGACAACTGCGCTTGCCATCATCAAACTCAGCCAGTAAATGAAACCTGAATAACCAAGAGCTATTTTGCATCAATTACGTATAAAAAAGTTGCCAAGAACCAAACTAATTTGACCAGGTTAAGCTCTAACCAACAATGTCTGAACTCAAAACTGGAAATATAAAGTGAATGTTCATGAAACATAGTCTGGAAGTATTATTTATTAAAGGGGTTGTAACTCAAACTAATACTGATACTTTAAGGTTGACAAATTAAGGTATGAATCAATTAGGTCTGGTCTGGATGTAACATGTAAGTGTTAATTTTAATGCATTACCAATGAATCCTTATGTTTCTATTTTAACTTGGGAAAATAGAAAAGAATTCTTAGATTCACTGAAGCAATTTAAAAGTCCTGCTATTTGCTCCTAACAATTTAATTTAGCCTCCGTACCATGTGTTGCAAAAGACACAATGCAGGCACGCAACCAAGAGAAATTATAAAATTCCGAAAATCCAAAATATAGTAGATCACGCCAGTAATAACAAGCTGCTATTAAACACTCCCCCCTCTCCAAACAAGGGAATCAAATTTAGTTACTGAGTTCAAAATTCATTACCAAATCTTGGAAATGAAGTCAATAGATCACTCCCTATCACCAAAGAATAGAGAAAAAGGAAAACAAAACATTGAGAGAAATAGTCTGATATGGGGAACCTAATATACTGAACGGAAAGTTACTTCAAAGAGAAGTTTGGAAGGCAGAAGACCGACCTGCTACACTGTTGACAAAACCTCTGTTCAACTCCGTTCACAATAACTTTGGCAGTTTTCGAGTGAGCCTCACAGACTTTATGCCGCTTATGGTACTCCTTTGAGGAGCTGAGATCCATGTCACAACCATGAACTTGGCAAAAGGGAGTCTGAGAATTCAAATTTGTGCGGGCTCTTTTGGCTGGGAGGGATGACCTCACGGAGGACAGAATCGGCGCCTCTTTGGAGGATTCACCATTCTTTGAGTCCCTGTAGTCGGCCAATCTCCCTAGTTTCAAATCGATGAGTGAAGAGTCCCGACTATTAGAGTCCACTACAGAGCTCGAAAGCCTCGAACTTGATTCCTCTTCTCCAAAGAATGCTTTCAGAGTAACTACAGAAGAAGATGCCTCTCTTTCGCTATCGGTCTTACTTGCCATAAACCCATCAATCTGGTTGTCAGGAAGTGGCTTCTTGATGATGTCAGGGAAACCCAATTCCATGAAACCCTGGCTCTCGACAGCCTCTCGACCTTGGACTAACATGGTGCTTTCGTAATTACAGGGGGGTTTTAAGTCCCAACCCATGAACATTTTTCTACTTCTCGTAAGTGCATCAGCAGGAGAAATCATTTCATCGGATAATACAAAACCCTTCCCTTCAGAACCATAGCTCCAAGACTCCATCAGGCGGAACGGAATGAATAGCTTCAGAGTTTACGTAAGAGCCCAGCACAATTGAAGAAACAAAAGCATCTCTTCCTTTTGCACTTTTACCCAAAATCCAGTTCGAAATTTAATGACTGAGAACAAACAGAGCAGAACAACAGAAGAAATGAAAACCCATTAAAGAGTCTCCATAGGCCCAGCAGCTTCAATACTCCATAAAGAGTGAATCAGCACGGTTGCAGACAATCCACATAAAATACCCACCTCGATTCAAATAGAAACGTCCAACTTTTTACCGTCTCTGCAGCTCAAAACCAGTTGGAACTTTCAATTTCTGACAACCCACATGAGCAGAAAGGAGATAAATAAATAAAAACCATCAAGAGAGAAAAATATAAATTAAGAACATCATTAAAGCTGCAGAAATCTCTTTTGAAAAAAAAAAAAAAACCACCAAATTCAATCAGCTGCATACATTCATTATCTTTCTAACTTGGAAACCAAGTAAAAATTCTCAATGAGCTCTTGAGAAGAAAAATCAGAAGCACATGAACCAAAACAATAATTTAAAAATGCTTCAATTATGAGCTATAGAGATTTCTGTTACCAGAGTCACAGTGACGTGGTGAACTTGTGAGGTGAGTGAGGATGGAGCAGAGACAGTGAAAGAGAAGTCGACATTATATCCACAACCCCCCATGTAAAAGCTTTGTCGTGGCCTATTTGTAGCTTTTCACTGAGACTGAGAGTGAGAGGGGATGGGGAGAGAGAGAGAGAGAGAGGAAACAATGAAAATTACATGCAAGACCACCACCTGTTTTTGTGTTCTCTCCCCTTGATCAGTGTTGGTGCAAGGACACGACAACACCCTAAAGAACCAACCATACGATGATACGATGGATAGATGATCCGTCGGATCCTAATCAGTCTCGGGATTTGTTCCACGGAGATGAATGCCAAGCCAAACTTTGTCAGCACGTTCCGTTTGGTTTTTCTTGGCAGCCCCGTTTGTTTCCCAAGCCCAGACTCCAAGTTCCAATTTCCAAAGACTTGAGTGAGCTGAGCTGTTCCCTTAACTTTTTGTCCTACTCGATTTACACAGCATAAATCCTCCTTGGATCCAACGGTCAGAAAATCAATTATATCACGTGAGACCCAGTAGCTGTAGGAGAGCAGAGAGTTTCAAGGAAGATGGGTAATGAGACTGTGGGTAGGGGTCTGCACTGCACCCTAACTTCCAAACCATACACATGTAGCCATGGAATTTCATATCAGTTGTCATCTTGGAGATCAGATCTCATTCACCACTTGTTTCACAGTAACTGAGGCCAATACAGAGACAAAAAGGAGGATCATGATTCATGAGCATTCAATGCCAACTTAAAACCTGTAACTGTGGGATCTACCCAAAATTTGGGACTCAATATCTCACACTCTGTTGAAAAAGTTTTTCACAGTGGATCTCCCTTAATAACTACTAAAAAGTACATATTACAAATACAAGGGTTTTTTTAAGAAAAGAATTGATGCAGTTATTTGATGTAATGGTTAAAATCTCAGAAAAAGGCTTAATATCTCCTAAGAGTAAAAAAATGGTATGTCTTAAAGTTTGAACATCATAGCATGTATTATTAAATTGAATGTCATCATCAATAACTAGTGGAAAGCATGTGTAGTGTCGTACCAAAAATGAGAGAGAGAGAGAGAGAGGTATGGGTTAGATAAGGAAAGGTTTGAACTTTGAAGTTGCAAATTAGAAGAGAGGGAGTGGTTCATAGCTTCATGCTCATCTCATTAAAATTTCTTCTATTTATACATAATACAAGATTGCTCTGTGTAATTGTAAAGAGGTTGACAAGGGGACTACTCTCCTCTTAATGATATTTCTTTCTAAATGGTAAATACTAAATACATTGATTTATATTCAAACAAAGGCATGGTTGAAAATTACAATTTGATTAGGGAAATTAGTCTGGCCGGTAAGAGTTTAGTTAGAGGAAACTCTTGGATTTCTTCCCCTTTCAAACAAGTTGTGGGTTCCATGAAAAGACATGTCCAACTCTGTCTTGTACTCTGTCTTTTTATTGGTCCCACCATGCATGCTTGTAGGGTCAAAGTTTACCAAGACCGAGAGTTGAATAAATTTCTTTATCAAAATTCCTTAATTTTACAATGTTTTCTCTCAGCCTCTCATTTGCATCCATCAATTTTGTGAGTTAGTTTATACTGCATGCCTCATTATTCATATAAACTTGAGTGATAAATGAAAAGATAAGATAAGATTTGGTTCTTTTACTTTTTCAATGCTGTCTAAACAAGATCAGAACCAAATTTTCAAGCGGATGAGAGGAAGATATTTAGAATGATCACTTTTTAAAATGCATAATCAAGTACAGAAACAAGGACAAAACCCCTTTATAACAATATGCAGTCGTTAAGATAATTCCTGGTTGAAGTATTGACCACCCTTGAAATATTATAAAACATGGTCCTTAGATTCCTCAATTTCATGTGGGAGGGACAGAAGAATCCCATGAGATGATTTCTTAAGTGCAAAGATATCACCTTCATTATTGATTTTTGAATCTTCTTATGATCGTCATTGTCAACAGCAAACCTTCCCCTCCATTTTTATTTATTTATTTATTTAAATTTTGGGGCCACAATAGGTTGTCCTGGGTCATATATTCTGTCAACATATAAGTTTTTGGATATATATATTTTTCTCTGTCAATCTTATTCCATATTGAAAGTCTTCACTTAATTGAGGCATTAGTAAGTAAGGTGTTTAATATATTATATATTGTATTAGATGGCTTAAATTTAGTGAGAATGTCAAAGTTCAACAATGTTCTATATGGTTACTATTCGAAGTACACATTTCAAAGATTTACATGTTAATTAAATTACCCTTGCTTAGGAGTGGTCAACCCTACTTAACCCAAATCCGAGCTGTTGAACCCCAACCTAGGTTTGGATTGGGTATTGACCCGATTTCTCTACTTCCCTTTGTAAAATAGTCTTATTTCCTGAAGTCAAGGGTTGAGATCAATTTGGGAAAAACAAATTACCTTACCTTCAAATACATATACATAAGTAGTTACGTACAAAAATACATGCTTATATAATATTTATACATACAAGTATAACATGTAGGCGGATTCATGCTTTTCAACCCTAACCTTAACCCAAACTTCAACCCAATCCAATTTAAGTGGATTAGTGCTAATCTTGCCCAAGTTTCAGCCCCACTTTGTCTGTTTCCCTTCTTTCACCATTTTCACTTTGTTTTTATTTGCACCAATCTTATCTTAAATTACTAATTTCTATCATAGAAGATCACAAGATACTACCTTAGTTCACTACCCTTGATCATATCACTATGTTGATGGACTTAAGTTCATTTAAATTTGTCATCGAATTTTCTTCTTCTTATTCTTACCATTCACCACCAGCTGGTTGGTGGTCCAGTTGGCACGTTCCTTGCTTCATTGCAACAGAGACCCAAGATCTATTTTCGTTGCTTACCATTCACCCATCTCAACATGTCAATTAAACTAACTCTGTAACTTCTAAGAGAGGCCTTGTGATTGAGACATCTTGGAAGTGATTGCTCACTTATTTTGTTTAATATACTCATTTATTATTTGCTTGTGATGTACAAGATGAAAACTCTTTGTTGGCATGTATTTGCAAGGTTCAAAATATCTATATGTTGGGCCATATCAGATACTTTTTTTTTTATTTTTTTTTCAAAACACGTTCAGAGGGGCCGGTTTAAGTCTCCTCCACCCCTTGAACTGATCAGAATCCCGATATATACTTTGTAGGGGCGTATCGTAGAGCTCCCGAAACAATACGTATCGGCCTATACAAGCTGATACATGTCAATACTTTGAACCTTGTGTATTTAATTCCATAAAATACTACATTTCTATATCCCCTCTTTTATCTTTTAAATTTAATTGGTAAATGCCAATAGTGCATCTCCACCTTATTCATTTAAGGTGTGTTTGGTTTATATAAAAAAAAATAAGATAGAGAATTGAGGGAAATATTTTGAGGAATTTAATGAAAATTCTTAATAACTTAGCCTTGACTTTTTGATAAACCAAACGGAGCCTTAATTCTATTATTGTGAGAATATCATCATCATCATCATCATCATCACTTAAGCCTTATCCCACCCATATGAGGTCATCTACATGAATCTTGTTTGACCATTACACTCTGTTTTACTAGTTTAGGGGTAGCTTCACAATCAACTTAGCCATCACTATCTAAGCCTTATCCCATATACGGGATCAGCTACATGAATCCTATTTTGATATTTTAGTGCAACCTTCTTTGTGATGTACAAGACCAAGTTGATAATGCTTTAATTGTTTAGGGGTAGCTTCACAAATCACTATCTAACATAGGCATCATCATCTAAGCCTTATACCAACTACATGGGGTCCACTATATGTCTACATGAGTTATGTTCCATCATTCTAATTTGTTTAATGCAATCATATCTATAACATTATTATTATTATTATTATTATTATTATCATCATCTTTTATTATTGACTTTTGCACATGACTAAATTGGTAATGCTTTACTAATTTAATTTATGGAGTACTTCACAATCAACTTAGTTATGATTTGCATTAATTTGATCTACAAGTTTATTAGTCAAAGTAGCACTGTAAACTGTGTACATCATTGAGCCTCTTCCTGTATTAATTAATTAATTTATTCATTAACCAACATAAAAGGACATTTGTTAGCTGCAGTTTTTACCCCAAACCTCCTCCTACATTTGAAATCCAATTTTTCTTCACACTTAGCAATATAATTGGCCCTCCACCAAGAATAAGATTATTGCTACTAATTGTGTTTTTTTTTTTTTTTTGGGGGGGGGGGGTATTTGGTGATAGACACCACATTAATAACCCCTTTCCTCAAAGTTGGTGGTTGTAGAAATAGAATCCACATTTATGCTGGAAGTAACAAGCTAATTTACCAACTGAATCACCCCTCAGTTAGCTATTTTTTCAACTATCTTTGAACTTAAAGTATACATCCAACTTAACACCCATTTATAATAATGAATGGACACATTCATAATCAATACCTAAAAAAGAAATATTTGATAGTATAAATACCCCCACCCCGGATGAACAATGGTTAAATAATTATTAATTAATATCCTAAAGTAATTCTTTGAGAAATATGGGTATTTTGCTCTTATTAAAATGGGTATATATTTGTCTTTTTTTTTTTAAATCCTTTTAATAGTGTTTCTATTTATACGTAGCTAGTTCCCAATTCTTTCATACTCTTGGCATGCAACATGCTATCCCGCAACCAAACGATCCTTATCCAATTTTTTTGGCCTTGTAGGACATCTGTCCTATTAAGAACTCTCTCGGATGGTTACATAATAATGTCCCAAACTGTTCTTATCTTGTCTCTTTCATTATAATGTAGTTAAAGGGAAATTAGAGACATAACATAACTTCAAATTATACTATGAGAAGGTATATATTTTCGGTTAAGCTAAAATGGAAATAGAGTAGTCTTTTTTATGGTTTCTTAATGAGGACATTGGGTGATGAGGCTGTGACAGTGAGCCATATACTTACTCTGGTTCACGAGTTGGTCAAGGGCAAGGCTATTCTATTCTATTCTAACTTTTGAATCTAAAAACTGAAAGACCTCCTTGAACCTAGCCCGGCCGTTGATAAAAATTGCCCTTTTTGAAGAGACAGATTTTGCCATCTTCTGGCCTGCATTGGGTCTTCCATGTGGAAATGGTGGTGGTGG